AGCCCAACCAGCAAACACTTCACCGTAAACAGATCATTTTCACAGTGCAAGGGGGAACCTTCCAGAATTGCTAGACAGACGTCTGGCAGAATTAGGTCCTAGGGCCTCAACGTGGCGGTAAATCCTCCCAATGTTAGGTCATCTTACAAATGTTCTCTGTTGTGGAGAAAAACTAAAAAGTGCATCTACACAGCAGGATCAATTCTGTGTTTGGCACCACTTGAACCACCATGGCTCAATGCTGTTGGGTCTTGGAAGTTGTATTGGTGTGGGGCCATCACTCTGGATTCCGTTGCATAGAGCCATGGCAGCTCAAGTGAAGTCAAACTGCATTTGTCTTATTTATTTATTTGTTTATTTACGTCACTTTTGTCCTGCCCACATCAGCCCGAAGGTGACTCAGGGTGGCGTACAAATCGGCAAAATTAGATGCCATATAAGAATACATACATTGGTTAAAAGCAAAACAAATCACATTACAATACATTTACAAACCGTAAAAGCAATAACAATAAAAATTATAAAAACTATGTCTTCTTGTTCAAATCCTCAACTGTTCCATCGTCTTAGCTGTTCCTAGTTCATATTCTAGTTTGTGTTTATCTGGTCATGCTGACGTTCCAAATGCTTGCTCAAAGAGCCAGATTTTCTCTCTTTTTCGAAAGGTCAGGAGGGAGGGAGTCGATCTAATATCCTTAGGCAGGGCCCACCACTGAGAAGGCCCTGTCTCTCGTCCCCACCAGATCGAGAGCAGGGCCTCCTCAGACGATCTCAACTTCCTGGAAGATTCATAGGAAGAGATGCGTTCAGATAGATAAGCTGGGCCGGAACCATTTAGGGCTTAATAGGCTACTTACTGTATAGACCAGTGTTTCTCAGCCTTTCTAATGCCACGACCCCTTAATACAGTTCTCATGTTGTGGTGACCTCCAACTATAACATTTTTGCTGCTATTTCATGACTGTAATTTTACTACTGTTATGAATCGTAATGTAAATATCTGAAATGCAGGATGTATTTTCATTCACTCGACCAAATTTAGCAGAAATACCTGATATGCCCAAATTTGAAAACTGGTGGTGTCAGGAGGGATTGATTTTTGACTTCCATGCTCAGAATAGAGGCCAGTGATACTTTGGATGGGTTCGACAGTTGCTTGAATTGTGACTATAGCATTTTTCCAAAGCAGAGAGTGTTTGAGGACCAGAACATCCGTAGGGATACCAAGGTGCTTGTTTATAAAACTATTGTCCTCCCAACACTGCGAGACTTGGACTGTCTACAGACGTCACATGCAACTCCTGGAACAATTCCATTAGCATTGCCTCCAAAATCTTTTGGGAAGACAAGCGGACAAATGTCAGCATGCTGGAAGAAGCAAAGACCACCAGCACTGAAGCAGTGGTCCTCCACCATAAACTCCGCTGGACCAGCCACATTGTCCGGATGCCCGACCACCGTCTCCCAAAGCAGTTGCTCTACTCTGAACTCAAGAATGGAAAATGGAATGTTGGTGGACAGGAAAAGAGATTTAAAGATGGGCTCAAAGCCAACCTTAAAAACTCTAGCATAGACACTGAGAACTGGGAAGACCTGGCCCTTGAGCGTTCTAGCTGGAGGTCAGCTGTGACCAGCAGTGCTGTAGAATTTGAAGAGGCACGAATGGAGGGTGAAAGAGAGAAATGTGCCAAGAGGAAGGCGCATCAAGCCAACCCCAACCAGGACCACCTTCCACCTGGAAACCAATGCCCTCACTGCGGGAGAACATGCAGGTCAAGAATAGGGTTCCACAGTCACCTATGGACCCACCGCCAGCACACTGATCTTGGAAGACAATCCTACTCTGACAATGAAGGATCACTTAAATAAGTAAGTATCTCTACTTAGTTATCCAGAATGCATCACACCTATCCCTTAAGTCCTTGCCCTTTCCTTATTGAATGGGAAGGTTTTTGATGGAGATGTAAACATGACCTTCACATTGCCAAGAGAACTTCCATACTATGTATGTACAGCACTCTTTTTCAACTACCATCCTATGCATCCTATGGCTTGTAAATCTCTCTGGCTGAGGATTCTAAATATATCTTCCAAAACGACAGATCCCAGGATTCCATAGGATGTTGCCATGTGTACTCCCAGGACCCTTGATTGACTCAAAAGCTTCGACTCCCATTTGAGCAAAGGCCAGAAGAAGTTGCCTGCAAATCTCCCCACACAAGATGATCCGAGACTGAGATTTGGTGTTGACAACAAAGTTGACCCATGACCTTTGGTTGCCTGAGGCCGTTCTGTGTTCATACCTTACCAGAAGGGTAGATTGTAAAAAAAAAAAAAGTAGTTTAAGAGATAAACATTCACATGATTGGCGGTAGGAGTGTCACAAGCATGAAAATGCACAAAAATTCCCATCTAATGTGGAGTAGGAATAGCACCCTGAAAGTGAATTACATATCACTGAATCAAGGAAAGCTCATGCCCATGTTGTTTAGATTCTGAGATGGTTCTGCAGATGCTCTCTGACCCTTCGAACCTTCATGTAACCCTCCATAGTATCTAGAGAAGTGGTCCTCAACGTTCCTAATGCCGCAACCCCTTAATACAGTTCTTCATGTTGTGGTGACCCCCAACTATAACATTATTTTTGTTGCTACTTCATAACTGTAATTTTGCTACTGTTATTAATCGTAATGTAAATATCTGATATGCAGGATGTATTTTCATTCACTGGACCAAATTCGGAACAAATACCCAATACGCCCAAATCTGAATACTGGTGAGGTTGTGTGTGTGTGCGTGTGTGTGTGGGGGGGTGGGGTGGGTGGTGGTGGTGGTGGTGGTGGTGGGTGGGTTGATGTTGTCATTTGGGAATTGTAGTTCCCGGGATTTAGTTTCTGGGATTTATAATTCACCTACAATCAAAGAGCATTATGAACTCCAACAATGATGGAATTGAACCAAACTTGGCACACACAACTCCCATGACCAAGATAAAATACTGGAAGGGTTTGGTGAGCATTGACCTTGAGTTTTGGAGTTCTAGTTCACCTACCTCCAAAAAGCTCTGTGGGCTCAAACAATGACAGATCTGGACCAAACTTAGCACAAATACTCAATATGCCTAAATGTGAACATTGGTGGAGTTTGGGGAAAATAGACCTTGACATCTTGGAGTTGTAGTTGCTGGGATTTATAGTTCACCTGCAATCAAAGAGTGCTCTGAACCCCACCAATGATAGAATTGAGCCAAACTTCCCACACAGAACCCCCATGACTAACAGAAAATACTGTGTTTTCCGATGGTCTTTGGCAACCCCCCTGGCACCCCCTTGAAACCCCCCCCAGGGGTCCTGACCCCCAGGTTGAGAAACGCTCTAGAGTTTAGGACTGCTCTAGAATTGTTTGTTTTAACCTCTAGTGATTTTCAGATTCTCCAGTAGAAATCTATAGTTACACTGTACGATCTAGAAATCCCAAATAGAATATTTGAATTAAGTTGGCAAATAATCAAATCCGCTAAGGGAAAACTCATGAATGTCGGGGTTCAGCTATAGATCATTGGTTTGAATCTGGGGAGGGACCTAATGTGCACGTGTGCTGTGATGTTATGTATATGTAAATATAATAATAATAATAATAATAATAATAATAATAATAATAATAATAGATGGGAAACCACCAATTAATAAAAGGAGAATTTTGGCTATATTTCAGTGGAAGGACCCGGCAAAACCACCTCTAAGTATCTGTTGTCTAAGAAAACCTATGAAGTTCATGGGATTGCCATAAGACAACTGGCAACTTGTAGGCACATGTGCATAGCAGGAACATCATGGCTAAAATTACTTGTTGCTTCACTCCTTAATAAGGACCCCCTCGGTGGCACAATGGATTGAACCCTTGTGCCGGCGGGATTGAAAACCGACAGGTCGCAGGTTCAAATCCGGGAAAGCATGGATGAGCTCCCTCTGTCAGCTTCAGCTCCCCATGCAAAGACATGAGAGAAGCCTCCCACAAGGATGGTAAAACATCAAAACATCCGGGCTTCCACTGAGCAGCGTCCTTGCAGACGGCCAGTACTCTCACACCAGAAGTTACTTGTAATTTCTGAAGTCACTCCTCACACACACACACTCACACAAGCTATAATTCTCTATCATTGGTCATGCTTCTGGTCACTTCTGGGGCGAGAGAATATAGTTTTCTAAGATCTACAGAGACACTCGCTGGAACACCTCAGCAAGCGAGAGTCCAAAAGTGGCAGGCTCAAACCCAGAACCTCAACCAATGGCTGATACCAAATGAGAGACTCCCCCCTGGGCACACAGAAGACTGGGAGACTCTGAACAGACTGCGCTCTGGCACCACGAGATGCAGAGCCAACCTCAAGAAATGGGGCCACAAAGTGGAATCCACGACATGCGAGTGTGGAGAAGAGCAAACCACTGACCACCTACTGCAATGCACCCTGAGCCCTGCCACATGCACAATGGAGGACCTTCTTGCAGCAACACCAGAAGCACTCCAAGTGGCCAGATACTGCTCAAAGGACATTTAATCAACTACCAAACTTGCAAATGTTGTGTTTTGTATGTTTGTTTGTTTTTGTTCTGTTAGAAATGCAATACAATTGACTGGTTGCCCTGACACGGCAAAAAAATTAATTGGTCATGCTAACTAGGAGATGATGGGTGTTAAAATCCAAAACATGTGGTGAGCACTTGCTTGGAGAAGGCTGGCTTTTCTGTTCCTCTGCATTTCATAACTTTAGTCATCGTGTCCCTCCTCTGATGTCGTGACCCTCCTCTGATGTGGCTTGGGGCAATGAAAGAAAGCCCATGCTGGTAAGCCTTGCAACTCAGATCCTTGTCTTGGCTCTCCCTCCTCACATTCCTCCTTGCGCCTGGTCTTTGAAACATAAGATTTGTCGACTCCAGCCCTGCCAGTGCTATTAGTACTATGATTATCTGCTCCGCCTCAGCCAATCCGGGGGCCGGGAATTGGGTGACGACATGTGCTAGGGAACAGCAAGGAGGCAGCAAAGCATCCAAGCTACTAATGCTGGGATTGGAGGTCGGAAGCTGCTCTATGGGGAGACCAGGGCGCCTTTGCATGGGCTAAGCAGGAGGAGTGTGCCTTGCCCTCCACCCTCCTTCCTCTTCTCCCCTCTCCTTCCCACCAAGGGGTTGCTTTTCATGATCCAAGCAGACCTCCAAGGGACTGACAGCCTGGGTGCAGCATGACAAGACAGACTGCAGGTAATATGCAGGGGTGGGTTTTCCTCCTCCCCTCCCCTCTTTTCCCTTCGGCTCCATTGGAAACAGGGCTGCCGGCCTGTTCTCCTTGCCATCCCTTCTGCCTGCAGCCTTACCTGGGCTCGGCCCCCATGTGTTCCGCATCAAAACACCACTGCCTTTCCCCTGCACACTGCACAACATGAAATCCCAGACAATGCGCGAATGGCTGGCTGGCAGGCGAAGGAGGGGGGGGGGGAAGGAGGGAGGGAACCCACCCTGAGTGAAAGGCAAGATTGTGGTCTTTCCACATTTCACAGCCTTCATTTTTTTGTTATCTATGTATATTGTTTTGGTAAATAAGCTTGGAAAGAGAGAGAGAGAGAGAGCCATTTTCCTTCCTGAGACACAGCGGCAAGGCTTCGCGTCAAAAGCTAACAATGCAAAGCTCGTGTGCCTTGGTGTTCGGATGCACATGAATGAGCCTGGGCCTGTGACTGCAGTCTACAGACTAGCAATCTGTCTATCTATCAATCTATCTGTCTATCTATTTGTCTTTCTATCATTTATTCTTTCATTCTTTCGATTCTGCTTATCACTGTCTGTATGGCAGTGTATTTTTTCTTCTATCTGTCATCTGTCTATCATCTATCACCATCAAGGTGCTTACCAATATGTCTGTCTCTATATCTTTCTGTCTGTCTGTCTCTCTCCATCCATTCATCCATCCCCCCAATCTATCTATCAGCATCTATATGCCTATATATGTTCCTGTCTCTATCTATCTATCTATCTATCTATCTATCTATCTATCTATCTATCTATCTATCTATCTAGTATCTACCTACCCACCCACCTACCCACCCATCTATCCATCCATCTACCCATCCACCTACCTACCTACCTACCTGCCTGCCTGCCTACTGATCTATCTATCTATCTATCTATCTATCTATCTATCTATCTATCTATCTATCTATCTATCTATCTATCTATCTATCCATCCATCCATCCATCCATCCATCCATCCATCCATCCATCCATCCAGATATCTAGCTATCTAGCTATCTAGCCATCCATACATGCACCCATACAGCCATCCATCCATCTTCCTATTTCGATCTGTCAATTATCTACCACCTATTTGTCTGTCTGTCATCCATCAGCACCTAGGTGCCTATCCATATCTCTGTTTCTGTTTCTCTCTCTCTCTCTCTCTTTCTAATCCCTGGCAAAATGTATGCCAACCCCTTTGGTCTTTTGCTTTGTTTCCAAAGGGCTTTGGGGAGACCCACACCCTTGAAACGGAAAGGGTGCTTCTGTTCCATCTGGACACAGTGCTGGTTTTGCCATTTCCCACCCCAAAGGCATTTTGGGTTATCCCTTTGTCCCAGAAATGGTGGACAGGTTTGGCAGCCCCCTTTCCCTGTTGATACCTTTGCAGGAACCGTTCCGTTCTAGTTAATTGCTGGCTTTAGGACCCATTTAAGGGTGGTTTTTTGTTGTTGTTCTGCTGCCGGAATGTTAGCTTTTGGTCAGTCTGGATTTTTGGAAATGCAATTTGTTTTTGGAAGCAACGGGGATGAAAATGGAAACGTCTCTGCCTGTCTCGCTGGGCCTCGGCTGCTGGACGCTGAGCTGGCTTTTCATTTATATTGGCTCTCCTTTACACACACACACATACAACATTCATGGTCAGGGGGTTATTTTTAGTGTCTCTAAGTGGAATGGAGCTGTTCGGGGTGACCGACACACTCAATGTATTCCTGGTTTTCATCCCTTTCCCTTTACGCCTGCTTTTGTTTTGCCAAGATCTGTACACATTGGCTTCTCCCTTTCTGTCTTGTATCCTCCAGAAAAGAATGTATGGGTTGGGTATATTTCGGACAGGCGTTTCTCATTTGGACAATATTCGCTTCTCATTTGGAGCGGCCTTAAAGGAGGGCCTCTCTCTGGTGGGCTTTTTTTTCCATTTTGGGTTTTATTGATTGGCAGGTCAAAGTCCAAATAGGGGTTGGATTGGAGACCTTGCGGAGAGGTAGAACGAGAGAGAGAAAAGGGTGAAGCAGCTGTCTGTTTTGGAGAAAGATAATAGGAAATGCGGGGCCCTGGCGGAGAATAAAATCAAGTGGTCCCTTGTGACTCCTCCCTGATTCATAAATTCACATTCTGCAGTTTATTTCTGGATTTTCCAAAGGCACAGCTGGTTGGAGAGGAGAGGGGAAGGCAAGGCAGAGGAGAGGAAGGGGAAAGAGAAAGATCACTTGTTTTGGAGGACCTTGGATCGCTCAGTCTATCTATCTATCTATCTATCTATCTATCTATCTATCTATCTATCTATCTGTTTATCTATCTGGAGAAAACGTCAGGAACTGGAGAAAAGGATGGGAGGAAGATGAGAGAGATGTTGGAGGAAGGGGATGGAAAAAGGAAAAGGAGTCAAAAGATGGAGAACAGGTGATGTGTCCAAATGGAGAATGAAGTAGAACAAGGCTTTGTACGGTTGGGTTGTTGTAGGTTTTTTGGGGCTATATGGCCATGATCTAGAGGCATTCTCTCCTGACATTTCACCTGCATCTATGGCAAGCATCCTCAGAGACAGTGAGGTCTGTTGGAACTAGGAAAATTTGGTTTATTTATCTGTGGAATGACCAGGGTGGGACAAAGAACTCTTGTCTGTTGAAGCTAGGTGTGAATGTTTCAACTGACCACCTTGATTAGCAACAGACCTCATTACCTCTGAGGATGCTTGCCATAGATACAGGTGAAACGTCAGGAGAGAATGCCTCTAGAACATGGCCATATAGCCCAAAAAACCCTACAACAACACAGTGATTCCAGCCATGAAAGCCTTCGACAATAGGTTGTTGTAGGTTTTTTCGGGCTATATGGCCATGGTCTAGAGGCATTGTCTCCTGACATTTCGCCTGCATCTATGGCAAGCATCCTCAGAGGTAGGGAGGCCATGAAAGCCTTCGACAATACCTTCGACAATACTTCGTACGGTTTTTATATTTGTATATTGTATGCTAATGTTTTTAACAGTTATTTTATGATTGTTTTATTTGTTATAATTGTTGAGACATCAAATTGTTGCCAATTGTGAACCACTCTGAGTCGCCTCTAGGCAGAGAGGGGTGATATATAAATATGGTAATAAATAAATAAATAAAGAAGTGCAGGATGTGGTTGAGTTAATAATGGGTATCTAATGTTGGCAGACCGAAAACTAGAGGGGTCTCCTGACTTCATAGAATAGGAGAGAATGATCTGTCAATGCAAGCAAGTGACAGGGAAAGAGTGACCTGTTACTTGTTTGCATTGGCAAGAATGACTTCTCAGTGCAAGCAAGTGACAGGGAATACCTGCCGGGATTTTCTCTTTTACACAACCACAAAAGGTACTGGCGCCTTCTCCTGTATTCGTCCATGTGATGCTATGGGCATCAGGGGAACATGGCCATTGACCAAGTGGTGAACATTTAGAGCAGTGGTTCTCAACCTGTGGGTCTCCAGATGTGTTGGCCTACAACTCCCAGAAATCCTAACAGCTGGTAAACTGCCTGGGATTTCTGGGAGTTGTAGGCCAAAACACCTGGTTGAGGAACCACTGATCTAGATGTTGGCGTCAAGACAAAGAGACGTAGATTGGGTTTGGAGCTGTGCACCAAGGAGTTTTTGGGCGCTTGACAGAAGTGTTCAGGGCCAAACCAAGACTTTGCAAGCACAAGCGCGATTGGTGGGGACGAGAGAGAGGGCCTTTTCGGTGGTGGCCCCTCGACTCTGGAGCTCACTCCCTAAGGACACCAGGCATGCCCCAAACTTGGTAATCTTTAAGAGGAGCTTGAAGACGTGGTTGTTCCAATGTGCTTTCCCAGATCCCATAGCACTTTGTCCTCCAAAGCACTTCAAATTGTTTTTAGGTGTGCTTGTATGTTTCCATAAACCGCCCTATCACTTCCTTTGCCCATGTCCAGCATTATTTTAATTTTAATTACATTTGGCCTACCCATAGTTTTTAAAGTGTGTTGTCCTATTTGATAATGTTTGTGTTATTGTTTCATTGTTTTGTTGTTTTTAAACTGCTTGTATTGTTGTTATTGCTTGTATTGTTGTATTTTGGGCTCGGCCTCATGTAAGCCGCACCGAGTCCCTTGGGAAGTGTATTATTATTATTATTATTATTATTATTATTATTATTATTATTATTATTTTGTGGCCCGAGATTGCAAGAGAGCCTCCAGGCCTACCTCCGAGTCAAGGTATATTTACTTACTTACTTACTTACTTACTTACTTACTATATTTATATACCGTCCCTCTCAGCCCGCAGGCGACTCGGGGTGGTTTACAGTTGGTGCCATGACCATAAAATACGATTTCAATACAATAAAAACAATCGAGAATAAAACATGACAAAATCAGTAAAAACATGAACATTAGGGTCTCCTATTAAAAACATTGTCCAATCACATCATCCAGACTAGTCAAATGTGGGCTAGGTATATGGAAACAAAAGCCAGCCAAGTTATTTTGGCTTGGAGATGTACCTTTCAAATCTCCAAATTTCTGGGATCATCCCAATTCACCCTCTGCTATCCTATTTTTTTCAGTTGCTTTTAAAATGTCCCAGTTTCTCCCTCCTACCTCTACTTGATCCTTTGCTTACTTCAAGGGCTGCAAATTGACTCTAAAACAGAAAAGTAGTTTGTACTTAGTTAGCTCAGCTCATGGGAAAGGAGAGGAAGAAATGGACTTTTGCCCTTCCCAGAGAGAATCCTACAGAGAACATTTTAAATCAAATCTGTGAATAATCAGATCCGCCAAAGTCAAATCTGCAAATGTGGAGGGACAACTGTATTGACATTGGCGATGGGTGGTGGAAGGAGTCACATCATGTCTGTTCCTGGAAAGTGTGTCCTCCAAAAACCCCAGGGATATTTTCTTTTTGGTTCTTTGGAGAGTCAAGATTGGTCTTTCAAGTTCTTGGTTAACAGGGTTCTCGATGTAACTAGGGCCCCTTCCA